TGTAGCCGCACGTGCACGCCGACCGATCGGCAGCCTCTGGAGCGGCTGTCGCTTCGGGTGGAGCCTGTAATTCTGGGACTGGACCTGGGTGCACTGTGCGTCGTCGGAGCCCTGCGCCCTCCGTGGGCACCCTCCTGTGTGTGTCCCTCGTGTCACCTGCAGGACCAGGAGCCATTCCTGGGGCTCCCTGCCCTCGGGCTCCTCAGAACCAGCTCGTGAAGCCGGGGCAGGTTCAAGGAGCTGGGCTTTCTAGAGGGGACTGTGGGTGCATGTGGTCATGGGCGTCCACATTACACGGTAATTGTTGTCTTATACAGCACCACTCCCGTGTGCGCGAGTGCGTGTGTGTGTGTGTGAGAGAGAGAGAGAGAGAGAGAGAGAGAGAGAGCGCCGCCTCCTCTGTGTAGTCAGTTCTGTCTTAGCCAACACTGCCAACTAAAGAGGCTCAATCCAGCAGACGCCTGGGAAGCACCTGCTGCACGTGCCTGCCAGCTCTGGAGGCCAAGGTGGCGATGGGTTGGGGGAGCAGGCCTCCAGGAGTCACAGCCCCCCTGGGGGACCGCGCCGTGAACATGTAACTGGGACGCAGGCTGGCTGTGGCCTCGTTGAGGTGACTAGGCCTCTGTGCCGTGGGCCCCGGGAGGAGTGGGAGCCTGTGTGCCGTAGGCCCTGGGAGGAGTGGGAGGGCCTGTGTGCCGTGGGCCCGGGAGGAGTGGGAGGGCCTGTGTGCCGTAGGCCCTGGGAGGAGTGGGAGGGCCTGTGTGCCGTAGGCCCTGGGAGGAGTGGGAGGGCCTGTGTGCCGTAGGCCCTGGGAGGAGTGGGAGGGCCTGTGTGCCGTAGGCCCTGGGAGGAGTGGGAGGGCCTGTGTGCCGTAGGCCCTGGGAGGAGTGGGAGGGCCTGTGTGCCGTAGGCCCTGGGAGGAGTGGGAGGGCCTGTGTGCCGTAGGCCCTGGGAGGAGTGGGAGGGCCTGTGTGCCGTAGGCCCTGGGAGGAGTGGGAGGGCCTGTGTGCCGTAGGCCCTGGGAGGAGTGGGAGGGCCTGTGTGCCGTAGGCCCTGGGAGGAGTGGGAGGGCCTGTGTGCCGTAGGCCCTGGGAGGAGTGGGAGGGCCTGTGTGCCGTAGGCCCTGGGAGGAGTGGGAGGGCCTGTGTGCCGTAGGCCCTGGGAGGAGTGGGAGGGCCTGTGTGCCGTAGGCCCTGGGAGGAGTGGGAGGGCCTGTGTGCCGTAGGCCCTGGGAGGAGTGGGAGGGCCTGTGTGCCGTAGGCCCTGGGAGGAGTGGGAGGGCCTGTGTGCCGTAGGCCCTGGGAGGAGTGGGAGGGCCTGTGTGCCGTAGGCCCTGGGAGGAGTGGGAGGGCCTGTGTGCCGTAGGCCCTGGGAGGAGTGGGAGGGCCTGTGTGCCGTAGGCCCTGGGAGGAGTGGGAGGGCCTGTGTGCCGTAGGCCCTGGGAGGAGTGGGAGGGCCTGTGTGCCGTAGGCCCTGGGAGGAGTGGGAGGGCCTGTGTGCCGTAGGCCCTGGGAGGAGTGGGAGGGCCTGTGTGCCGTAGGCCCTGGGAGGAGTGGGAGGGCCTGTGTGCCGTAGGCCCTGGGAGGAGTGGGAGGGCCTGTGTGCCGTAGGCCCTGGGAGGAGTGGGAGGGCCTGTGTGCCGTAGGCCCTGGGAGGAGTGGGAGGGCCTGTGTGCCGACGGCCCAGGAGGAATCGCCTGGACGGTCGGTCGAGGGCAGAGCGCATCTGTGTGAACGACAGGCTGTTAGGAGTTCACATTCAAACAGCACCTTGTTCCCTGCAGGCCTTGTGTCAGTACGTGTGCGCCTCTCTGCGCGCGCGCGTGTGTGTGTGTGTGTGTGTGTGCACGTGTGCATGTTCTGGGAGGTACCAGCACTGGGGGGCAGGGCAGTGAGACAGGGTGCAGGCTGCAGCCACTTGGGGAGGTCGCTGTGTACAGATGCCTCCGGGCCCTTGGCCAGTGCAGAGGGGTGGGTTCAGGGGAGGGAGCTTGCTCCGGGCACCGGGAGCTAAAGGGTAGGGGGGGGCTGGCTCCCCACCTGCCTCCGGCAGGCCCAGCAACACCAGCAGAGGTGCCGCGGGGAAGCCTGGAGGTGTGCTGGCTCTGGGTGTGAGGGTTTTCAGCTCTGCTTGGTGTTTCCCCGCCTGTTTTTAAAACATGGGGGGCGGGGGGTGGGGGTGGGGAGAGAAGGAGGAAAGGTGAGGAGAAGCCAGACCGCTGTTTGGCATTTAGATCAAGAGTCTGCTTTAAAATGGTTTCCGCTGACTTGGGGCTTGCAGGAGCACCAGGGAGAGGTCGGGCTTGCCGAGCGAGCCGCCCTGTAGGTGCCGCATTCCTGGCATCGCTGGGCTGTGTCCTCCCACCCAGGAGGGACCTGGCGAGGCAGCGGGCCCCCTGGGCCTGAGGATCGCCCTCAGAGGACTTGCCACCCCGGCGCTGCCAGGCTCGCTCTGGGAGAGGACAGGATGG